TGAAGGAGGCTATGGGGTTTTTTGGGGGGACACAATCTGGCAATAAGAATCCTAGGCAGCTATTCTCGTGATTACCAGACTGCTATCATCATCATCCCTTCAGTGCCTGAAGCGCCTCTCCCACAAACACAGTCCTGCTACCCAGCTTGGACAGCTCTGACTGCCAAGCTAAGAAAGATTTGGCATTCAGGGCCCATTTACACCATTGTCCAAATCATCTCCAGACCGTTTCTGGACCCAAAATGCATCCTTAATGTATCCCCATGCTATTTTTGGCCTCTGTTCACACCAGCGCAGTCCGTTCCAGGCCAGAAAAATACTGCTAGTCTCGTCTGGAATGCATTGGAACACATCAAAAACACAAACGCACTGAAATGCACCTGTATGACCATTTAAATTGCGGTAAAAACGCAGCAACACAATGCACTGCGTTCAGATCTGGTCCAGAAAATGGTGGAAACCTGCCCTTGAGCAGAGGTGGGGTACTCAAAAGCTACTGAACATATGCGCTGGCACTTCTAAGCAGTCTTCATACCTTTCAATTTTTTTTAAAATATTTATTGGTTTAAGGGTCAGCCAAAAAAAACAAACAAACATTCAATTCACCCATCTTGCTGGCAAGGCAATGATAGTGTTTCCCACAGATTCACCTTTGAATTGCACCTCAAAAAAACACAAAGGCAATGCATATGCATTGAAGTACAATACAGTAACACTACAGTGTGTGGTGCAGTACAACACACAGTAACACTACAGTCGCTGAATTTACTTTTTTGAACGTTTTGGTGCATTGCCAGCTCAGACATTTGAATGGGCTGCCTTCATGCACAGGGAGTGAACACATTAAAAATGTTCATTAACAATGCACCAGGACACTAAGGTCTGAATGGGCACTAAAACAACAGGAAAAAAAAAAAAAAAAAAAGTCAGGTGGGATGGAAGGAGCGCCTGGTAAGTATTAAATCACTAGTCAAGCAGATGAAATTTGGAGTAAAATCAGATTCACGTAGCTCACAGATGACTGAATTTGGGCATGAAATGGTTGATAGCTGGAAATGTCCCACAGATCATTGCCCAATTAACACTAATGAATTCAGGAAATAAGGATTTGTAGATTAACAGGCCTTCGGAATGTCTTGCCTGGGGGCTGTGATCACAAAGCTGAGGGCTCATTTACACTATTCAGCACGCTAAATTGCTGAGTAAGGTGCAGCGGGGGGCAGTGCGACACTTTCAGCACATTACACCATTTATTTTAAACTTTATTTAGTGTACACAAAGCGTACACTCCAATCAGGTCTTTGCACCAAACATAATTCGCATTAGGATTTTATGGGGCACAGAAAACAATTGTGATGGCAATGATCAGTTACTGGAAAATGCCAGGTCACCAATCAGTAAGAAAAAACCATGGTTCATGCAGCCATCAGTTTTTTGCTCAGCAGAAATTCAAATTGTCTTCCTTAAAAGGAGAACTATTGGGTAAAGGCTTTTCTCCATAGTTCTCCTAAGGGTACCGGGAGGACACAAACTAGCGTCTTCCCATTACCCTAAGCTCAGTATACCGCGAGCTGTAGCTTGCTGAATACTGAGACGCCGGAACGGATCCCGACAATTATGTCTGGATCCGCCCAGCTGCGTGAGTGACAGCTGGCACTGCCCATCTAGAGGCAGTGCCAGCTGTACCAGCCCCAACCCCGTCCGTTCCGCCAGTCAGTGCTGGAGGATCGGAGCAAGGAGGGGAGGGGGGAATCCCTGCAGGGCGCTGTGAGTGACAGTGTGTTCGCTCACTTCCCATCTACTGAGCTGAACTGGGACCGTTTCACTGTCACAGGTCAGCTCAGATTATAAAAATCACTCACCTCATAATTCTCCTTTAAGGTACACCCAGTCAGGGCTAAAACTTAATGATATGCTCATGTCTGGAAAGGTCACACTTTTAGGCACGCTCACCAGATCTTCATAGTTTGGGGGAACTGTGGAAAATAATTGCCATGATATAAGATTTTGCATTTTCTCCATGTGCTTGTGTGGGTTTCCAGCAAGTTCTCCAGTTTGCTCCCACACTCCAAAGACATGCTGATAGGTTAACTGGCTCCTGTCTAAACCAGCCAGCGTGTCCAATAGGGACCTTAGGATTGTAAGCTTTTTTTTTTTCCTTGAGCTAGGCAATTGTTGGTGTAATTAGTTTTCATGAAATGGAAAAAAAATTAAAAAAAAATCAATCCCCTGTAGGTAAACTACACACATTGCCGTGATTTTAGTAAACCGTATTTGCAGATACATCCAATATCTGTTGAGAAATTGCCATATCACTTTATCCTTTTTCAAACTGACTTTCTAAATGGCAGTGTCTGCCTTCATTCTAACATTGTGGTGCACCATCAGTGCTGCGATGACAAAATCTGCAGTTTGCACCCCTTTAGAAGAGGGCCAGCCCTATCAAGTCACTAAAAATAAAACTGTATTGCAGCTTGAAAGCAGACATTTGGGGAAAAAGCAGCGAGCCAAATCACACCTACAGGAAATTATACTCATGGAGGCATTCTGTACACCAACAATGTAAGAACTTCTTCAGTTTGCTATATTGCAAGGAAGCAACATTCCAGTTTTAGAATATAACAGCAGCTGCAGATAGAAGTGATGGTCATTAACAGTCAAATCACAATAGGGTTTAGCAATTAAATAGTTTAGATTACTTTTTTCATCAAGTGGAGCTTTCCATTTAGGTTTTTGTCAGTATTTAAAGCTTAACTTAAAAAGGGGAAACAAAGGTGTTTTACCCGTGTAATGGGTCAATCTCCCCACTGCAGGAACTACTTGATTGCCTGGCCCTAAAGAATGACAACATGAAATACTTAACTTATTCCACTATTCCCCCCCAACTTTTACAAATTGCTCCCAAATATCTGTAAACACACCTTACAGATAAATTATGGAAGGTTAAACACCAGTGTTCCTAGGATCTAATAGATTAAGTAGGCCTGGTCTCAACAGAAATGACTGCCCAGCCCCAGATATATTTAATACCATGGGGGAAGCTATAATTTCTGTACAGGCGTTTATTTTTCTATGCAACACCCGACTTGAGAGATTGCATGTGCCTCCCTGACGAGGGGTAGGGGACAATAAAACCAGACATCCTAAACCTTCTCCACGCCACCATTTTTCTTTTAACATAGTATTTGAGGTTGAAGACACAGGTCCATCAAGTCCAACCTATTGCGTGTATGCATGTGCATCTACATGTGTATGAGTTCATGTGTGATCTTATTCTTGTGTACCTGTACCCCTGTATGTTACAGTCCCTGAGGAAATTGTCCAAACGTTGAACGATTCCACACTCACAGCTGAAATAAATGCATGTGGCAGCGAGTTCCGGACCCTAACCGCTATAACTTAGAAGAACCCTCTTGTGCTGAATTATTTTCTCCAACAATTTTAGGTGGTGGCTTCTGGTCTTTGTTTTGGAGTCCACCGTAAAAAGTTTATTGCCGATGTTGCTATCCCCGTTGAACATCTTGTACATCAGAATCATATCCCCCCTTAATCTCCTTATTTCCAGCGTGAACATGTTTAAATTTAGTAGCCTTGTCTCATAACTCAGGTCCTCCATCCCCTTAATGAGTTTGGTTGCCCTTCTCTGGACTCTTTCCAGCTCAAGGGTATCCTTTCTGTGGACTGGTGACCAAAACTGAACCGCCACCTCCAGATGTGGTCGAACCAGTGATCTGTAAAGTGGCAAAATTATAGACTTGTCTCCACAGTGCATTCCCTTTTTAATACATGACAGTACTCTGCTCGCAGCAGCCTGGCATTGCGTACTGTTATTCAATCTGTGGTCTACTACGACCCCCAAATCTTTTTCCATTTCTCACTTCCCTAGTGGAATTCCCATTAATGTGTATCCAGCTTGCCTATTTTTAACCCCAAGATACATTACTTTACATTTATTGACATTAAACCTCATCTGCCATGTAGTTGCCTACTCCACTATTTTATCCAGGTCCTCCTGTAATGTTGTAGTGTCTAATTCCGTGTCTATTACCCTCATGATTTTATGTTGTAATATTGTTGAACCTGGAAGCCAAGAGGTTATGTGTGGCTTTGCTCCACTTCTGACAAAGGAACATGTGCAAAATTTGCATGCCTGGAATGTGAAGGCCTGCCCACACCAGAACCTGGTGGGCCTCTCCAAGCTGCAAGACTTCTGGTTGCTCCCAGATGGTTGATGCCTGTCATCACTGTGGTACTGTCCGACTGAAACCAGGCCAGATGACCAAGCAATGGAGAGGTCCAGTGCTGAAGGGATAACTAAATCATTCAAAGCTTCAGCATAATGGACAACAAGCTTTTTACAGCAGACAAGTCTTCTGCACGTAAAGAGTTTACAGCCTGTCAAGCTGGGGTCCATTGTGAGAATGTTTCAGACCGGCAGACTGAAGGATTGTCCCAATTCCAGGGCTGGGTTTGCAAG